CCCCGAGATACGTTCTGCCCTGAGGACAGAAGGTGTCCCTCCACCCATAGGCCCAAATGTTCAGCCTCCTACATGAGGGACCTGGAATGGGTCTGCCCCTAGCAATTGATGTGGGCCTTGACAGCCACATTGTCTGTCAATATGAGGACATGTCTTCCTGCCATACTGTTCGAAAACTGCTTGAGGGCCTGGTAAATGGCCCCCAACTCCAGCCAATTGATGTTCTGGCCCTTGTCCTCCTGGGTCCACTGACCCTGCGCCATTGCTGACTGAAGATGGGCTCCCCAACCGAAGAGGCTGGCATCGGTCATTAGGATCAAGTGACTTGCTCCTTGAACAGGCACCCTCTGGGTGGTCAACCTTTCCTCCAGGGTTATTCAGACAATACAAGCCTCTAGGAGGCCTTCAATCAATCAGATTTATGATGCCACTTGGAGGATTTTTTTGCACCTGGTGCTCTAGATTAGAACTTGATCCCATGTTGGTGTCGATCGCTCAGGTTCTGGAGTTCATCCAGGACAGACTAGACAAAGGCACCCTGCTCCTTGAACAGGCACCCTCTAAGGACCCAATCACTATTTGTGGTACCCTGACCTTGAGCAAGGAGTGCCTCCTGCTGGACCTCTAGTATGGCAAGAGGAACCATTGCAGTGACCTGGATGCAATTGTGCCCATGTGACAATGGAGATATAGGACACCATCTTGCCCAGGAGCCACGACAGGTGGGCAAAGGTACTATCTGCTCTTTCTGGATCTGCCTTGCCAAGGCCTGTAAGCTTGCCTGGAGGTCCAGGGAGAGGAAGACCTCGCACAGGATTGTGTTTATTACTGCTCCCAGGTGAGCAAGCAGTTAGTCAGAGAAAAATGGTACCTTTTGGTGTTGATGGAAAACCCATAGGCCTGCAGAACCTGAATGGTAATCTGAAGGTAATTCCTTGGTGCCAAGTTCCAAGGACGACTGGATTAAAATGTCATCTAGGTAACACTGGACCTGCAGTGGTAAGACATGGAGGTACATTGCCAAAGCTGCTAACAGCTTGGTGAACACCCTTGGCAATGGATGATAGGCCGAATGGCAGAGCCCGATATTGGAAATGCTGGCTCTTGTAATAAAAACAGAGGAACCAGCAGTGGGATAGCCAGATAGGGACGTGGAGGAAAGCCTCTGTCAAGTCGGTGGATGTGAGGAAGTTACCCTCTTGAATGCTCTGCAGGATGGATTGCAGTTACTGCATCTTGAATCGTCTGTGGAAATCTCTTGAGGTCTAGAATTGCCCTCCACCTCCCATCCCCCAAGGCCTTTGCTATCACAAAGAGTTGAGAATAGAATCCCTTCCCCTGTTGTTCCACCAGAATCACCTGTATAGCTCAAATTTCCCATAGATGTTGAATGGTGGTTTCCATGAGGACCCTCCTTGTGTAATCCCGAGAGATTGGACAGGGAATGAAGAACCTCAGGGGTGTGGAGAGGAATTCAAGGGAGAGACCCGACCTCACTGTCGGTAGAACCCAGGTGTCTGTAGTAATCTCCTCATATCAATTGGCAAAATTTGCCAGGTGTCCTCCAATAGGAGGGATGGGTCTGCAGTCACTTTGAGTGCTGAAATGGACAAGTCCCCCTACCTCAAAAGGGCCACTTGCTTTGAAACTGTTGTCTATTCTTACCCGAACAATCCAGCTGCTGATCCTTGCCCGCGCCCAGTAGAGCCTTTGAGTGCATTGAAAACTCAAACTGGATTCATCCACTTGAAAAGGTGAGGAATGAAAGTCGGTACGTCTGGAGAGAGAAGGGAGGATCTTCCTCTTATCCCTGGATTCCACTAGGAAGAGAGTTGGAAAAGGACAGATGCCAGGTTCCACTGTATTCTGGGGTCCTCCTGCCAATGGTGGAGCCATAGATGGTGGGCAGCTGAGGATGCCATTGCCTTAGAAGAGAACCTGGCCGCATTAAGTGGAACCTGACATCTGTGGAAAATTCAGTCACAGCCACCAGTTTGTTAATGTCTTGATGGATATGTACATCCCCAAGGGGCACTCTCTCCTGCAAGTGGTGTAACCATTGCAGAGAAACCCTAGTAAAGAAAGAGGCAGCTGTGACTTCCCAGGCTTCTGCTTGATGAGACTGTTGGAGAATTTGCTCAGCCTTTTTGTCCTCTTTCTTGAATGTCTTCTCTGCTTCAGTTGGTATAGCAGAGGAGGAAACCAATGTGACCACGGATCATCCACTGTAGAAGTTTGGAGGGCCTTGTCCATCTCTGAGTTCATGCTATAAAATCTTTGATCATTGGTACTAAGAACGGGGCCTGATCCTGGCGAGGTCCACTGCCTGCATCTAAAAATAATTTGGGCAAAGGGATCACTTCTGACTGCATAGTTGGCTCAGAGAACAACATGTCACATTGAGCCAGTATTTCCATGGCTGGATCTGCACTGGGTTTGGGTCCCAAGTGGACTGCGTTTTTGGCCTTGAATAACAAGGACTTAAATAGGGAGGACAAAAGAACCCTGTGAGTGCTGGCTGGCCCAGCTTAAGATCCTTGTCCTCAGAGAGGTCTTGTTCTCTCTGTTCACACTCTCCAGAAAACGATGACATGCTGTGACTGGAGTGGCTCAGGGAATAGGGCTCTTGGAAGTCCTAATCATGGTCTGCTTGTGCCGGCCCTGGGAGCCTGGGGTAATTAGAATACACTGAGGAAGTCTATCTGAACTGCTGAAGGCCTTTGGATATCCCTTGTTTAATGACATTGGATATCAGATCCCTCATGGCAAGGGGTATATCAGCCTCAGCTGATTCCCCTGGGTGTAGGCCCACAGCAGTGGGAGTATATGTTGTCTCAGCAGTAGCCCTCTGGCTGTATAGGGGCTGCTTCTAATCACCTGTTACAGGTAACACAGTTGCCAGGAAACTGGAGTAGGTTTTGCAGTTGTCTTGTGAAGCCAAGAAATCCTCCTCTCCAGCACCATCTGGTGACAAGGTCTGGGAGCTGGGTCCAGCTACTTGGCTTGCTTCCAACTGCTGTGCAACATTCTGGTGGGAAAAACCTGCTTCCATAGAGTGGGATGATCTTTGGCTCTGCTTTTCTGTCCTTTTCTGATAAGCTTCTCTAAGGCCTTATGCCTTCTTTTAGAGTCCTTTTTTTCAGCCCTGGAAGTCTTCCTAGAAGCTACAGCTTTTACTTTTAACTTTGCAGCTGCACCTCTAGGTGCCAATTTGGGAGCTGAAGAAATCCCGATAGGGCTTTTGGCATCCCCTGGAGTATCCACTGGGCCCACTTGGCTGTGGCTGCACCCAGCCCGAGCCTCCTCCATGTTATTGAGGCTAAGCAGTACACAATGCCCCTTGTTTAAGATTCCTCTCCATAAGCAGACATAACAGGCCCTGCTGACTAACTGTCCCAGTATTTCAGGCAATCTGGCTACCATGCATCGCCTGCGCTTTTCTGCACCACTCTGGCAAGTCCTCGGATGATCGCTGATAGAAGCTACGCTCGCCCTCTCTGTCGCCCCCATTCACTGCTGGAGATCCTGCAGCCTGGCTCCAGCACTGTGAGCAAGGCTCTCCACTGTCTTTGCATTGGCTTCACAGCCCTTGGCGGCCCGAGGCAAAGCTCTAACCTCCACAGCCTTTGGCAGACTGGAGCCAAAGCTCTTCATACCAGAATGTCAATTGGATGAGATGCCGCCACTGCAGCCTTCGGTAGCTTGAGTCAAGGTTCCCACACTGAAATAGTTGGTTGTGCTGTGTCAAAGCCTCAACCTTCAATGCCTGGAGCCAAAGCCCACTGTGTTGGAAATGACAGGCAGAATGAGGCCAAAGCCCATCATGCCAGCTTCAGCGGCAGCTCTACCTTACTGCCTGGGAGCCTGCCTGCTGAAAATTGATGAAATCCAATGTGCTGTTGACCATTAGCTTTCAAATTTGAAGAGAAATGGGAGACACATCTTGTCCAAGTGAGGGACTGAGTCGAAAGCTGGGGAAGGCTAGCAACAAAGGTGGGTCTACACAGCTTTGACAGACTCAGTCCTATCAGCTTGGAGAAGGAGTTAACCCTTGCCTGGACTCTCGCAGCAGTACTGTGGAGAAAGACCTTGTTCTCATGCAGTCTCTGATGTGTTGGAAAATCATGCAAGCATTCTGACATGATTTTCAGAAGGTCCTGTGGTGCACAAGAGCAGGGCCCTCTAGGCCCTCTAACATGACTTCTAGAGGGTCCAGAGAGGAAAGTCCAAAGAAGAAAAGAGTCCAGAGGAGCTGCAGAAAGGTTACTTTTGTCTGGTTGGTGTGTTGTGTGCATGAGAGAAGGGAGAGGGAGAGGGAGAGGGAGAGGGAGAGAGAGAGAGAGAGAGAAGTGCTTCAATATTGTAACAATTTCACAGACTGGAAAAGCTACCTAAATGGCAACAACATTTCTTCTTTCATGATAATAAACTAGGTTTGGTTCACATATCACCTGATTATATGGCAACATTTGATATTTCTCATTGGAGTAAATTGGATGAGCTGTTGAAACACACTGGCCTGGAAGAATAGAAGATTGAATAGAACATTGATTATACAGTGGGTTTTTTCCAGATCCTTTTTCTCCATCTGTTAGTAAGATTCTGGAACCACATAGAAGAAATCAAGAGGGCCAAGATAAGGAAAGCATTTTGGACATATACAAGTAGGAATGGTTTCCTATTCATGTAAAACAGTTTTAGATTGTAGCCACTGTGCTAACATTGACATAAGTAGCAATTTACAAAGAAACATCAGTAATAACTTATAAAGCTATTTAGGCTGCAGTGCAATGGATTTGAACTTGTTCATGATTCAAGTGAATAGTTTCCTCCCTTCTTCACATTTCTCATTGTTGCCCATGAGCATTTTAATGTCATAAATTAGCACTGCATTAGATCATACTTTCATCTTGAAATGCAAGTCTGTGGACATGCATATATCACTATACATGTTACTATCCACTAATACTATACAAAAAAGAGGCTGCACATTATCTTACCATCATCTGTCGAATATGAAACATATCATCTCCATTAGTTGAGAGACGATTGGGAATTGAAATGTCAACGAAAGATCCTGGAAGGGTACTTGGCCCAGCATTATAGACCTTCAAAAAGATAGGAACAAATGAGATATGTACATGCTTCAAAAATGCATGACAAGACAGCTATCTTTGTGGTTAGCCCATAACTTTATCAAACCCTTAATGGCTGACAATAGGAAAATGAATCCCCACGCCCCCATGTTATGGAACCCATGTTAAGGATAAAGGGAGCATATTCTATAGCAAACTATTAATCTGAATGTAAAGCTTCAGAACATACATTTGGTGAATCTCATTTGAGAGCACTCAAACTAATGGTTATCCCCCAAAAATAGGGCAGTTAGATATGTGTGCGTATTTGAATAAGTGATATACATGGATGGATAGACAGACAGATAGACAGAAGATAGAGTGATATATGGCGTGTTCTTGGCATGTTCAGGTCTTTTCCCGTGTAAGATTGAGAGTATATTGGCGACTTTTCGACGAGGTCCCACTTGCCATCTTCAGGCTAGTGCTTTCGGCTTCGTGCTTGTGCGAAAAAAGTGTGATCGGAGCTGCCGTCTCCCTATATATACTGGTGGGGAGGTTGGCTGTGTTGTCAGTTCTTCATTGGTTGATGGAGTTAATGTTTGCAGATTGGCTGGCTTTTTTGTAAGAATGCTTTAACACATTCTTTGGCTCAGTATTTGTAAACAGCAATGGATCATGCCTAGTATTTCCTAGTTGAACCACAGACAATGATCTAATACATCTCAATTTTACAGAAGACATTATTGAAAAAGCACTGTGTAATCTAAAACCATCCCTATATATTGGAACGGATAGAATATGTGCCTACTTCTTTAAAAAGCTATCCATTGCCATAGCCAAACCTCTAAGCATAATCTTTGAAAAATCTTTCAGGACCAGCTCCTTGCCAAAACTATGGTCACAAGCCACAGTAATCCCCATCTTCAAAAAGGGAGACCCCAGCCTAGTTGAAAATTACAGACCAATTTCTTTATACTACATCACCTGTAAAGTCATGGGATCAATTATTAACCAATCCATCCTCCTCCACTTAGAAACAAATAACCTACTCTCTAATAAACAATTTGGTTTCAGGAAAAAACTATCCTGTAATCTACAACTCTTACACTGCAAAAACATATGGACTACACAACTTGATCAGGGAAAAGCAATAGATGCAATCTACATAGACTTCTATAAAGCCTTTGATTCAGTGGTACATGATAAACTACTCCTAAAACTAAAATCTTACGGTACCTCTGGACACCTGCATAACTGGATAGAAGCATTCCCGTCAAACAGACAACGAATGGTCAAAATTGGGAGCATCCTATCAAATTCTGTACCTGTCAACAGTGGTGTCCCCCAAGGCAGTGTTCTAGGAGCAACTCTCTTCATACTCTACATAAATGACCTCTGTGATCATATCAAGAGCAACTGCGTTCTCTTCACTGATAATGTAAAGCTATTCAACACCACAGACAATACTGCTACCCTTCAAAAAGACCTTGTATCAGAATGGTCAAACAAATGGCAACTTCAAATCTCAACAAATAAATGCTCTGTCTTACATATTGGCAAAAAAAAATCAGAAAATAAAATACAGGTTGAATAGTCAAGACCTTGTTGATGATCCAAACTCTGTCAAAGATCTTAAGAGTACTCATCTCTAATGACCTAAGTGCTAGAGCCCACTGTAACTACATAGCCAAAAAGGCATTAAGAGTTGTTAACCTAATCTAAGTAGCTTTTTCTCTAGTAATATTACACTAATAACTAGAGCATACAAAACATTTGCTAGATCAATACTTGAATACAGCTCATCAGTCTGGAACCCACATTATGTATCTGATATTAACACAGTTGAGAAAGTCCAGAAATATTTCACAAGAAGAGTTCTCCACTCCTCTACTCGTTGCAAAATACCTTATGCCACCAGACTCGAAATTCTAGACCTAGAAAACCTAGAACTACGCCGCCTTCGGTCTGAGTATACTAAGTTTGGTATATAAAATCATACATTGCAATGTCCTACCTGTCAATGAATACTTCAGCTTCAACCAAAGCAATACTAGAGCAAACAATAGATACACACTCAAGGATAATCACACAAAACTTGATTGCAGGAAATACAACTTCAGCAACAGAGAAGTCAATGTCTGGAATACTCTACCTGACACTCCGTGTTTTTTTCTCCAAACCCCAAAAACATTAACCTTAGATTGTCTACTATTGACCTCACCCCTTTCCTAAGAGGTCTGTAGAGGGCGTGCATAAGTGCACCAACGTGCCTACCGTCCCTGTCCTATTGTTTCTTTTATATATTTTTAATTTTTCTTATATGTATCCCTGTATTCATAACTATGTTTTTACTTATACCTATTATTTTGTAAGCAATTGACAAATAAAAATAAATAAATAAAATGAAGCATGTGTGGCTGAGGTATCCGTCTCCTGTGTTGTAATGACCTGGGTAATTGGCTGTGTGATGACCTTCTGAGTTCTATTGTTTTGACATCCTGGGTCTTGTGCTGTAATCTCCTGGTTTGTTGGCTGTGTTGTGACATCCTTATGTTTCGTGGTGTAACCTCCTGAGTTCCATGATGTGATATGAGCAGGTGGCTGTGATGTGACGTTCCGGGTTTTGGTTTGGCTCCGAGTTTGAGGCCTGGCTATGTGTTCATGGCGTGTGCCAGTTTGCTTGGTTTGGGGGTTGTGGTGTGTGGCAGCTGGTGATGCAGCCATGGTCTGGTTTCTGGACAGTGGTTGCCTTTCATATTCATTTTCTTTTGATCATCATTTCGGTGATACACAGTCAGCTAAATGTTTAGATTGGATTTGATATTTTTATCTAATTGTCCAATCCTTCCCAAGGATCTCGATAAGTTGTTGTTTAATGGTACGCAGGATGGAAGCTCTTCCAATTAATTGCCTTTTGCAATTGTTGATGAGGATTTTGTCAATGCCAATGGTATTCAAGTGGTGCTCCAGATGTTTTGGGATTGCACCCAAGGTATCTTGCACTATTGACATTCTCTTTTGCTACAGCCATTGTAGCTCTATTTGCAGATCGTTATATTTTGTGATTCCTTCTCTTTTATTCTACTGTCTTCAAATACTTCCATTTATTACCCAAACTTTGTTTTTCTTATTAACTGCTGTTAATAAGTGCTTATCTGTTTGAATTCAGAATCTTCTAGCTTCTTTGTTTTCTATTACTTTGTCCATTTTGTGGGCCCACCTTTTCTTGCTTGAAAGCAAATGATATTGTAAATATTCCAATGCACCATTGTTGCTACTTTGCAATGCCATATTTGTGATCAGTCTATGTGATTTTCTTGCAGAACCTACGTAGGTGGTCCACTGCTTCTTCACCTACTTTGTGGAGACAGCATTTGTTAATGTTGCTATCTTCTAAATTCTGGCTTTAAATGCATTTGCTCTTAAAATTTGGTCTTGTGCAGATAGAAATAGCCCCTCTGTCTCTTTCTTCAGTTTCTTTCTCTTTCTTCAGTTTTTTTTAAAATTCATGTTTTATTTAGTTTTCTTTCACACTACATATTTTGTGGACAGTGCATTGACTGGGTCAATGACCTTTTTAAACAATACTAACAATGATAATAGATAACACAAATAAGTATATATAATCCTAATCTTCCAACTCCAACTTCTTTATAGTTCTTTCTCATTTTTCCATTAATTCATTTAAACACAAATAACATTTCTTTTCACCATGTATTTATTATCTCCTATTAAGTCACTTATATTTAGTATTTTAAAAATTACTCATTATTCCACCATACTTTCAATATCCCAAATATCTAGAAGTATTAATCAGACAAAATGTTACAAGATGCAGTCAATCCCAGGATAATATCTCAGAATCCCCACAATTTCTAATCCTTAAAAGTTTTAAATTCACAATATATTTTAACACACTAGTAATATTAATAATACAATTAAATTACCTAATCCTAAACTTCTACCTTCTACCCTTAGCTTACTTTTAAATATAATAAATTCTATTATCGATTAGTATATATGCTACTATTTTCCCTATTTATATTTTCTACTTTTCCATTTTATTAATATATTTTATTACTATCCATCTCTTAATCATTTTGGGGTTCCATTACCTATTAACTTTTTAATCACCTTTTTCTTTCTCTATATTGCAATCTTATAACTTTTTGTAATGTTTTTATACCCAATAAGTATTCCTTTTTGGTTGCCCTTTATCACTTTATGCTGCATCCTTTGAATATCTATCCATAAGTTTTCCTTTTCTAAAAAAGATATTTTTGTTTTTTTCTCTAAACTTTTCTCTTTTTTAAAGAGATTTTTCTTTTTTCTTTTCTCTGTCCTATTATAAATTTTTAAGGAGTTATCTATTTGATTCCTATTGTGGGAAGAAAAAAATAGGCTATTGATCTATTCTATCAGAATCAACAAGGCCTTTGGATGATAGCAGACCCCAGAATAAAAGAGACATGAACCAGTTTTAGACAGGATGATTTCAAAATGTACCTGAATTATTTGTAATCCTGCTGAGCTGTTGGTGTGAAATGTGATTTTGAAAAGTACATGGTTTTGAAAACCGTGAGAAATAGGGGACAGAAAGTAGCTGATGGATAGAGGTTTGAGATATACACGGATATATATGGAGACTGTCTGTCACAGTAAGAAAGAACAGAGAAGTAAGTTGTGAAATGCATGCAGAAAAGTATAAAAAGGATGTTTTGGGATGTGTTCAGGTCATGGCCACTCCTTGCCGGACTCAGACCTCATTGCAATGAGTTATTGATATAAGTTGTGTTATGATGACTGTTCATGTTCCAAACTGCTCATGAAATAAACCTCTGATCTCAAAGTAGGATTTATTGCTTGTGGTTTGTCTGTGTTCCTCTTTCACTGAATTATTTTTATGACACAACTTATTAATCCTTTCTCTTCATTAGCTTTATCTTTTTTCATCTCATTTTGATTTTTCTCTTCCACTGCTTCTTCTAATTTCTCATCTATTTTCTGAATATCTCTCCCCCCCCACCCCCGGCCAGTTACTGAGAGGCTTCTACACTCATTTCTTTATCATTAGACAATTCCCTTGTCTCTTTATTTTTCTTTAATGTTTCATGTATGTTTTTAAGCATCAAAATTATTTCTTCATATCTCTTATTATCCCCTGGTAAACCAGTTTATTACAATTCAATAAAAATTACTCAATATACTTCTATAGTTTCAACTTCTCAATATTTAAATACTCCCACAGAGCCAGTTATTAGTAAAATTTAATCAATCTCATCGTTATATCTCCAAATCTCCAAAGTGTAGAATTTTAAAAATCTTTTAGTATTTTACAGTCTTTTGATTTTTCAATTATTTGTCTTCCTAATTGTCCAAATTTTCAAGTCTTACTTAATTTTCATATGATGTTCTGTCAAATAACATTAGTAGTCCAAATCCAAATTAGTCTAATATGTCTTCTTCAATGTTTCAAGTCCTCAGTTCAAAAACCAGTTTCAATAGAATTTAATTATTAGCATTTTAATTCATCTTAAAAATCTTCAAGAAGGGGATGAAACTCACCCAGTGGTTCAAGATATCCAAATCACCTTCTAAGATAAAGTCAAGGTCAGGCCACTTTCCAGGCTCTGTTTACTTTCTTCTGTTATGTATATTAAACATTCGTCACTTTCATTGAAAGTTCTCATGCTGTAGTGCTCCTCTTCTTCCAGTAGATGGCTCTCCTTCCAAGTTCCAGTATTAAACAGTATGTCAAAAAAAGCTGATTTTCCATAAATCCAGGGGGTTTAAGAATACAAATAAAAAAGAGTTTCTCCCAAAAAATCACCTTTCAAACTGTTTTGCTTTTTTCCAGGCTTTCTATATTTTAAAGCTTCCTTTGGACATCCTTTTGCCTCTTAATTTTCAATCTTTAATCTTCTCCATGTGTTTAATTGTCACTTCCTTAGCGCTTGGAGGATATTTTTTAAAATTCTTATATTTAAATCAAGTCTTTAAAGTAAAAGTTGGAAATTATCTCATCCAGTTTCAATGCTCTGTCCATGCACCACTGCAGCAGAAATCTTTTGGCTCCGGTTGTCCCAGCTTGTAACTGCCAAAAATGGCTGTCAGCCCGGCTGCCACTCAGGAGATCTTGCTTCTGACCTAATGAGGAAATTGCGAGTTTCCTTTGGTCCATGAAGCACCTCTCCTTTCTTTGCCCTACAAGAAGGCTTTGACCCCAGAGGGTCTCCCGACAGCAGTTGCCAGCTGGATTTCACAGGACTTGGTGGAGCCTGCTAATTTCTAAGCCGTTCTCAACGCTACTTCAAACAGAAGTTTCAGCCATTATCAAGTTTTGGTGTTAGCTGTTTGCTTGGTTTTTTTTTAATGTACTGGCCATATAATACTTTGCCTTGCCATGTCTCTTTGGTATCCTTTGTTTGATCTTTCTTGTAAGCCAGTTTGGTCTCTCCAGTACTTAGTAGGCCTTCATTTTTATTATTATTTCTGTCTTGCATCCTAGAAATGTGTATGGAGCTTGATAGACTTTCCTTTGTATTAATAATGGCAATAAATTTGCATCTTTTAAAAAGAAAAACATACTCCTTGAAACTATCAATGATAAGGATCCTTGACCCTACAATGTATTCCAGGAAGGGTACAGTATTTAGAATGTGCATTCCCTAAGAAAGTACTCTCTATATGGTTATGTCTGAAATTGCAACAACAACAAAAATAGACATGGCATGGCCTTTGGAGGAAAAATCAGCTGCACAAACAAACAAAAAAGAAAAAAAAATTCCTGGGCTCCTATCCTATCCTATCCTATCCTAAATCCTGGGTGCCTTCTAATCACAACCTTTATCCAACCTGTTATTATTTTAATGCTTTGCCCATAATATCAAGAAAATAATTAAGTGGCACTGAACCCTTAAATCCATAATCTTGCTAATCATCAACCAGAATAACATCTTGTAATCCATTTCCTCATTTTGGGGGGTTGGAGACATGTGAATTATGAAAATGTGAGGTGACAAAGATGCTTCAAATCTGCCATGTCCATTAGTTGTTCTGTACAGAAATCAAACATCTTTTAGGTTTACACAATAGATAGAAAAATACTTGTTTCAGTTAAAGAGGCACTAAGAAGTCTATACCTTGCCTGTTTTAGATCCAAATGCTGCCCACCACCAGTACAAATGTATCTATATAAAAGTAAGTTATACAAGCTTAATGAACTTACTTCTTGTTGAAGGAATATTTAGCAACTGCAGATACTTAATTTTATTTCATTTTTTTCTTCAGGCCAGGATCCTTTTTTCTTTGTTCCGGTGACAATATTTTCTTTTATGATGACCTCTGTTCAGCATGCCAATCAAAGACAGAATGTAGGCCTGACTTTAAAAAAGGCATTTCAAAAGGACCACAGAGTCCTAGACCATTTATTGCACTGTAGCAAAGAACATACATCCATTGGCCTCTTTTCGTTATATTCAGCAAAATCCCAGGGATATTGATAAGCCCACTAGCAAACATGGCTCTGCTGCATAATTCTTTTACCTGAAGAGTAAAATTTAAGTCCTGAAAATGGCATTCAAAATCTTCCAGCTTTGTAAACTGAGATGCCGCCACTGATTCGCCATAAATAAAAGAACTAGGGGACACTGTTCTGAAGAAAGAAAAGACAGAACATGTAAGAATGTGACCATGACATCATTTTATTTAATTGCATGAATTAGTTCCTTCTCCTAATAGTTTTTTGAAACTTGATATCTTTTTCCTAAGTACTGTTGTCACATAACAGAGAAAAATATACAGGTAGTTATGGAAAATTAAACAGACAGGCCTGTAGCATTGATGTGTACTATCCCAGAACATTTGACCTAAACCTTGGTCTAGTGGATCTGAACCAAAATATCTAACTCAACCTAAGAAATCATCTTAGTCTGTAATTTTCTATGAGAAAGACAGCAATCAGTGCTAATATTACTGTCTGAGAAATTATTAGAAAAAAAGAGATATATCCGTAGCCTTGTTTATAAACAAAAGAAAAATAAATGATCATTTTTGTACCCAGTGATGGATGAATCCACTTCATGCATCAGGGGAATTGTCAACATGACAGAATTGTCTTGAAGATTGTGTTCCATGTTCCCACTGCAGGAAACAAGAGAATCAAGGATATTATATACCAAAATGCCTTTTCATCCAGGAGCTCATTATAATATTCATACCATTCCCTTCTATTCCCCCACCCAAACAACTCTGTGAGTTAAACTGGACTGGAAGAGATTAACTATCCCAAGTCACTTAGTGAGCTTTTATGGTTAAGGGTGAACTATAATTTAACTCTTCCTGGTGCTTCACCAGCACCTTAACTACTACAGTGCACCGGCCTTCATATCAACCAGGATTGGGAATCCTTAAGAGACCATTGGCTGGACCAATTAGATTAAGTACTCTCTCCCCATTCCAAATGGACTGATGCATTATAGAGAAATCTCATTAAGTTTTATAGAAGAACCAAAATCTTGCTAACATATACAAATTTAAACATTCTAGTGTAGGCCCTCACAAGGTTTTACAATTTCAAGATTTTGTAAATTTTTATTTTTTATTTAATTAGACGTGCAGAAGACTTTTGGGGGGCAGAACTAATCCTTGCTATATATCTAAATTTTGGGGTCTGCTACATATCTACATATATTTGCCATTATCAAATATATTCAACTATATTTCCATTCCCATTACTTGAAATATATTCCCATTGCTTGGCAATGGAATGTGAACTGAACTTCCAGTGACAGTCCTAAATAGATCAGTATGGAAATAACTTTTGTAAATCAAAGCTGGTATTTTACATTGTGGCCAGCAACAAACTACAGTTAGTCAAGGTGTTTCCAGTCTAGCGTAATTCAGCTTCTCAAACTTATTGCTGGTAATAGCCATGATACCACATTTTGTACTACTTTCTCATTTCAGTCCTCATTATCCCTGGATAGGATGATAAATCCCCTACCTAATCTTCAGTAAACCATTGCTAGTCAGCCCAGTCCAGATTTCTTCAGTTAGCCAGCTTGTCCAAAGACTAAGAAGTTATAGGGATTGCAGTTGAATACAGCTGTCCAGAGTCATCTGATAGTGACATAGGTGGCATATAAATTAAAAATAATTGGAATAAATAGATTTGGGAATACTAAACTGGAGATTAGAATGCAAAGGTAGTTGAATCAGTGCTCTGATGAGTCTCTGCAGTTTGAAGTTAACACAGATTCATCTTAAAGCAGAGGTCTAACAATACATATATTGATACATTGATTATATGTTTAAGAGAATCTTTGATTTATAGATGTTGCCATTCATTTTTATTGGTTTTAATAACTTGTTTTACACTTCATCTTCTTCAAACACCCAGGTCTCTGGAAAAGGCTCTAATGCTGGGAAGAGTGGAAGGAAAGAGACAGCAAGGGGCAATGGGTGCATGATTGAAAGAATTGATAAGTGAAGTTAGGGATAGAGCATTATGGAGAAAATCTATACAATAACTTGCGGGTATATAACCAATTAATCATTTTATGAATTTATATCTGATAGGAAGTTGTTTATCCTTTGTTCATTTTTAGTTGTATTATTGATATTTTATTACTGAAATTGTAACTTAAAAATCTCTTGAGTGTGACAAAAAATCTAATACACACACTTACATAACTTGAATGTGTAAGGTCAAGAATTTGACAGAATTTACTATTCCTATAGTAAGAAACTATATGAATATAGAATAGAATTCTTTATAGAATACTTTATTGGTCAAGTGTGATTGGACACACAAGGAATTTGTCTTCCTCCTATATTCATGATATATTCAGAGTCTTAACTATCATCTTTGTATTTTGCTTCATGCAATATGAGAGGGTTAGGGTTAGTGCCCTAATGGGAGGCTAGTGCCCAAACTCAGCAGGCAAATATTTATTTATAAAAATACTGAGGTAAATAAATCATCAGGTTGCCTAACCACTAGTATCTGCAAATGAAAACTGTTCTATATAGCAGCCTAGCTTTTTATCTTTAAATATAGAGACATGTGGATTTTATACTAGGTAAAAATAGAGGAAATACAAAACTTTCCCCTTTTATGCAACTACTTTCAATATAATAAAGAAACAAAACAGTAGCCAGTAGCAATGATCATTCCTATGAGATTCTCATCATTTCCTATGTCTACTTGCAAATAGGACTACTATTTTATGACTTAAAGTAATAAGACATGTGCACTATGTATTATGGTTTTCAACACACTCCGTGCCACCCATTATGAAGCCTCTATATTAAATGGAGAGAGTTGGTTTAAATTCTCTCTTCTCTCAAGACCAGACTTATCCATACTGCAAAGAATCCACTCCTGTGAACTCCACGCAGAACTCATAAACTATCTAGACAATGGAGAAAAGGACCTATACATTGACTACAGAGCTGATTGCATCCATAGAAAGTCACACAACCCACAACTCTGCATCCAACCCTACCTCATCCAAGCCAACATCATTCAAAACTAGGCACACACACCCCCTAACTACCTCTATTCCAACCACAACTGGCCTTAAATGCAAGCTACTCAATGCAAGAAGCCTTGTAAATAAAATACTTGAATTTCTCCTCTTACTAAATACGGCTAAATTCGACATTATATTTGTCTGTGAAACATGGCTCAAAGCATCTCTCCCTGACTCCATTGCCACAGTAATAGACTATCATGTTTACCAATCAGATCATCAAATCCGTAGAGAAGGTGGTGTTGCTATCTTCTATAAAAAGTCCCTACATCTAAAAAACATCCAAGTTACCCAGGAGTGTGCTATTCGTGAGACCATCATCTGTGAACTGTCCTTAAATATCACATTTTGGTTCTTCTATGTTACAGAGCCCCTGATTATGACAATGAACATGCAAACAAGCTAAATATACTACTAACATGGGCAGCATCCTGCTCACACACTTTTATCTTTCTTGGTGACTTCAATCTACTTCATATTAACTGGACCCTTAACGAATGTACAACTGAACCCACACATGCAACCTTCTACAATGCAGTAACAAATCTGAGACTAGAACAACTAGTAACCAACAACACTAGACTTAACAACTGCCTCGATCTCATCTTCTGCAATAGTTTGAATTCAATTTACGGAATACAAATTAAAGAACCCTTTTCCAACAGTGACCACAACATGATTCACTTTTGTCTCAACATACGTCCACACAAAAATCATCACAACGATGGAATTATAACTTCAAAAAAGGAAACGATGATCTTATAAACATCCCTTGATTGGCAATTTCTGTTCTCTGGATGCAATACTGTAGAAGAAAAAATTTTACTTGAAGTCAAAAGACTCATCAAACTATATGTACCATAAACAACTCCCAAAACCAGAAAAAACAAATTACCCATAACAATAAGGAAGTTTCAATCCAATAAGAAATCACTTTGGCGGAAAAACAAATCTGCTCACGTTGCCAACTTCAAAAGCCGATACAAAAATTTATGCCACCAGATAAAGACTGAATGCACCAATAATCACATTAAACAAAAAATAACCTTCTTCGCACCAATTCCACCTGTGCTTTCTACAATTTTGTAAACAACAAACTAAAAGACTCAAGGTCCATCCCACCCCTGAAAGGACCTAATGGTAAAGACTGCAACAACAACACTATTAAAGCCAACCTCTTTAACACATTCTTTGGCTCAGTATTTGTAAACAGCAATGGATCATGCCCAGTATTTCCTAGATGAACCACAGACAACTACAATGATCTAATACATATCGATTTTACAGAAGACAATGTTGAAAAAGCACTATGCAATCTAAAACCATCTCTATCAATTGGACCGGATGGAATATGTGCCTACTTCTTTAAAAAGCTATCCATCACCGTAGCCAAACCTCTAAGCATAATTTTTGAAAAATCTTTCAGGACCAGCTCCTTGCCAAAACTATGGTCTCAAGCCATGGTCATCCCCATCTCCAAAAAGGGAGACCCCAGACTAGTTGAAAATTACAGACCAATCTCTTTATACTGCATCACCTGTAAAGTCATGGAATCAATTATTAACCATTCCATCATCCTCCACTTAGAAACAAATAACCTACTCTCTAATAAACAATTTGGTTTCAGGAAAAAACTATCCTGTAATCTACAACTCTTACATTGCAAAAACATATGGACTACAGAACCCGATCAGGGCAAAGCAATAGACACAATCTACATAGACTTCTGTAAAGACTTTGATTCAGTGGTACATGATAAACTACTCATAAAACTAAAATCTTACGGTATCTCTGGACACCTGCATAACTGGATAGAAACATTCCTGTCAAACAGACAACAAATGGGTCAAAATTGGGAGTGTCCTATCAAATTCTGTACCTGTCAACAGTGATGTCCCCCAAGGCAGTGTTCTAGGGCCAACTTTCTTCATACACTACAAAAATGACTTCTGTGATCATATCAAGAGCAACTGCGTTCTCTTCGCTGATGATGTAAAGCTATTCAACACCACAGACAATACTGCTACCCTTCAAAAAGACCTTGACTATGTATCAGAATGGTCAAACAAGTGGCAAATCTCAACAAATAAATGCTCTGTCCTACATACTGGCAAAAAAAATCAGAAAATAAAATATAGGCTGAATAGTCAAGACCTTGCTGATGATCCAAACTCTGTCAAGGATCTTGGAGTACTCATCTCTAATGACCTAAGTGCTAGAGCCCACTGTAACTACATAGCCAAAAAGGCATTAAGAGTGGTTAACCTAATCTAAGTAGCTTTTTCTCTGGTAATATTACACTAATAACTAGAGCATACAAAACATTTGCTAGACCAATACTGGAATACAGCTTATTAGCCTGGAACCCACATTATGTATCTGATATTAACGCAGTTGAGAAAGTTCTGGAAATATTTCACAAGAAGAGTTCTCCACTTCTCTACTCATTGCAGAATATCTTATGCCACCAGACTTGAAATTCTAGACCTAGAAAACCTAGAACTAAGCCGCCTTTGGTCCGATCTAAGTATAGTATATAAAATCAAAGATTGCAATGTCCTACCTGTCAATGAATACTTCAGCTTCAACCATAACAACACAAGAGCAAACAATAGATACAAACTCAAGGTTAATTGCACCAAACTTGATTGCAGGAAATACGACGTCAGCAACAGAGAAGTCAATGTCTGGAATACTCTACCTGACTCTGTGGTTTCTTCCCCAAACCCCAAAAACTTTAATCTTAGACTGTCTACTATTGACCTCACCCCTTTCCTAAGAGGTCTGTAGGGGGCGTGCATAAGCACACCAATTCTATCCTATTATTTCTTTTATTTTTTATTTTTCTCATATGTATCCATGTATTCTTAACTATGTTTTTACTTATACCTATTATTTTGTAAGCAATTGACAACAATAAATAAATAAATAAATATCCCCTAGAGCACAAAACATTTGTCTCTGCCAAGCTCAGAAGAAATCTGAAACTAGGATAAAGGAAGCCTAAGATGAGGTGGGGAGGAGAACTATCTGCAAAACCTCAGTATCAAATTAAATTTATCTGGCTTCTGAGTAAAATTATCCAACAGTTATTTCATCGATGGGAACAGTAAAGAATGATTTTACAGGCATGATTGAAAGCTATTTTTAAATTACATTCATGCACGAATGAGATAAATAAATCTCATCTTGAAGATTATCTGGCTCTTGCCATAAGACATATTATAAAGAAGTCTAGTCATAACATCTGCAGCCAACTGTATCATCAGAGACAAGTATAACTCTAGTGTACATGATATGATATATAAACTGCATGATTTCTAAATTTGATTGCAGCTGAAGGGCTTAAGAAGTCATATATAACCTAAAAAACTGTAGGCTGATTTAGGCTGATGGGGACCTGAAAAATGTGTTTCTATCTTACATCTTAAGTCATGACAGAATGAAAAAGATTAAGAGAATACACTGGTCATTTTTAAAGCTGTTATCAGCTTTAGTGACACAAACTTTCTGCACATACGAACTGTATGGCAGATCTTAATAAATCATGAATGAAGAGCATGCTCTGCTTTCCTTCATTGATCTGAACGGTGGTTAACTGATTCATTATCTCTATTTCAAATCTGTTTGCTTTTTCCTAATTTGCATGTTAGCAATTTGGCTGCAAGTAAAGCATATTTGGAGGCCCAAGTGAACTTATTACTACAATAAGTGTAGCCAGTGAGGTAAAGTGAGGTACAATATAAATTACTAAGAAAATATTCAAATGGAGAGCTTCTTGATGCCACTGTAATGAATACAAGAACAGAGCAAGCAATAGCCATTTTGAATATATAAAATGGGGAACTTCAGAAAATAAGCCATTTTAAGATTAGCAGTATCAATCATTTAACATGCTGATTTACATAACACTACTCTCCACTTTTCCATATGTAATTCTTTTTAATTCAGGGCTTATCTAAAGCAGTTTGCTTTTCTGAACATTCCTACAATCTATACACTAACCCAGAGGTGGTATTCAGCCAGTTCTCAGCGGTTCTGGCGACCTGGTAGCAAGAATTTGGCTTGAATCACGGAACTGGCAGTGACTTCTGGCTGGCCATGCCCCCAAACCAATTCCCAAGTCACTCAGTTGCCCTCCCAACCTGATGCTTGCTCGCTCATGCAGCTTGCCCTACCGCTGGCCCTGCTCAGTCACTTCTCCCTTCCTATGTGGCACGCTGGGCCCTCATGGCTTGCCTAACTTGACTTCCCCATGTGGTGCCTGCACCTCAACTAAGCAGCCCTGATCTGCCTGCCCTGCTCACAAGTAAGCCTGCATCACGCTAGGTCCTTGCCCACCCCCGGGGCCTTTCCGGGCCTCCCCCCCACCTCCTGGGACTTTCCGGGTGGGAGGAGGCCACGGTGGGGCATCTTTTTCAGGCCAGTCCAAAGGGCAGGTGGGGGACAGCAGCAGCCACAACGCAGCTATGGGAAGCAGGCCCAGGAGTTCCCGGCCTCCCTTTCGGGGCACCCCAACCATCGCCATCACCCCCTCAGCCCCAGCCCCAGTGTAGCAGAGAAGGCAAATGGAAAGGCTTTTCAGTCGCTTTCTCCCTGCCTTTCGGGGCACTGTCACTACCACCCATGTGCTTTGAAAGGGAGGGCAGATGGATGTTCTGGGGCTGCTGCTTTCTTCATTGTCCTGCTGCTCGTGCTCTGGAGTTTGCCCAATAAGTTCTTCCCAGAAAAGGTGTGTGTGTGAGGAAAGAAAGAAAGGGAGGAAGGGCAAGAAGGAAAGAGCAAGAAAGGAAGAGCAAGAAAGAAAGAGGAAGGGGGAGAAAGAAAGAGAGAGAGAAAGAAAAAAAGAAGGAAGAGGGGGAGAGAGAAATCTCATTGCTATTATTTTTAATTGTTCCATTATTTATTATATATTAATATTTTACACTGTCCCTACAACTCGAGTGATTTTATTGCCTTTCTTTTGCCCAGGTATTTTTCAGAGTTTACATGTCTGTAGTCCAGAGCATAAATACAGGTGCGTTTAACAGAGTTGAAAGGGACTATGGAGGTCTTCTAGTCCAACCTCCTGCTCGGGCAGGAAAACTGAGGTTGCCAAATTCTGAGTAGAGATCCTGGGAAAGGTGTCAGAATAACAGAATAGCACTTAGAAGGGACCTTGGGGGAAACCTTATACCATTTCAGAGAAATGGCTGTCCAGTCTTTTGTTAAAAACTTCCAGTGTTGGAGCATCCAGAACATCTGGTGGCAAACAATTCCACTGGTTAATTGTTCTCATTGTCAGGGAGTTTCTCCTTACTTTTAGGTTGCTTCTCTCTGTGTTCAGTTTCCATCCTGCTTTGGAAAATACATTGTTTGCCTTCTGGTGCTTTGGAAAATACATTGACACCCCCCACTTTTGGCAGCTCCCTAAAAACCTGTTGCCTATCACCCTCTTGGGCAAAGCATGTGAGCCATTTCCTCCTTTCAGTGGTCCATGAAAGTACATCTATAGTACGTAGATAATAAAGTCAACAAAAGGTGGCCACCATTTTTATAGAACTATAGATGTTATAGGCTGGGTGTGACAAGGAATGGCTGGGAGGGGAAGGGCCAGGCAAGGCACCCCTTGATGTGAGTGACATTGAGTTGGCCACACCCTTCCAGTCACATGACCACCAAGCCATGCCCACACAGTCATATGACTACCCCAGTCACATGGCCACCAAGCCACACCCACACAGTCATGTGACCCTAAGCCACGGCCACCAAATAAGCCATGCCCACAGAACCAGTAGTAAAAATTTTTGAATCCCACCACTGCATTAACCCATTATGAATGAACGCAAATACAAATGTCCCAGGACATATTCTGGTGAGACAGAAATTCCCTGAGGGATGAGCTCCAGAATGAGACTGAAAGCTTGGAAGACTAAACCTTAGGTCCCAGTGACCAACCCAAATCAGATCCTGCAACTAATGTCATTTCTCATTCCCAATCATGCTATTTGCTGGGTTTTCTTTACAATGAAGAAATGATTTCTAAACTCAGTTATTAACTACAAACTTAATCATACTTGGAGAACACTCATAAAAATCAAACGGTATGCACCAAATAGAGCTAATTTTGGATTTAATATGATATATATGCTCCCTGAAATAATCTTACTTAAACCTTCTTTCAAACCTCTCATTAATAAATTTTTGGTAGAATCAGAGAGAAACTGAACGGAAAATATAGCCTTTTAAAAATAAGCTTTAGTTGTTGTTCAATTCTTATTCATGTCCACTCCTTTGTAACCCTATGGATCATAGCAGGCCAGGGATCCCAGAATCTGCCCAAACTCCTGCCCACTGCATCAATGATACTATCTAATCATCTTATCATCTGCCATCTCTTCTTCTTTCGCCTTCAATCTTTCCCAACATCAGGGTCTTTTCCAATGAGTCCTTTCTTCTCATTTGGTGGCCAAAGTACTTGAGCTTCACCTTCAGTATCTGTCCTTCCAAAGAATAGTCAGGATTGATTTCCTTTAGGATTGACTGATTTGTTCTCCTTACAGTCCAAGATACTCTCATAAGTCTTCTCCAACACCACAATTCAAAAGTATTAATTCTTTGGTGCTCAATCTTCCTTATGGTCCAACTCTCACAGCCATACATTACTATTGGAAAAACATAGCTTTGACTATATAGGCCTTTGTCGATAAGGTAATGTCTCAGCTTTTTAATATGCTGTCTAGCTTTGCCATAGCTTTTCTGCCAAGGAGCATGCATCTTTTAATACTATATTCTCTTTACATTATATTTCATTGACATAAGTATACTGAAACAAAGCACTATACTATATACCAGGCTATAATTTCTCTTTAGTTGCTTAGGATCAACAAAGAGCAATAGCATATTACTGAAGGAAGTTTCTTATATCGGGAAATCTTGGACAATATGGTCCCAAAAGTTCCCATATTTATTGATACGGGGATATTAGCATTAAATTAGACAAGATGCTGTTTTAATTTCACATAATGTCCCAAAATACTGTAGCTTTATAAACATGGTTGTCCAGATCAGTTTGGGCTGTCAAAATTACCAGCCAGCATTTTGTGCCTGTCCACACAAGCTGTGAAATCTGGGAACTTTAGTCTTAGATTTTCTGGGAAGGTTTTAAGACTGTGATGACTACAGTGGAATAGTATGGCAAATTTAACTGATAAGTACAGTCATCTAGTGTTGTGTGGCTTGGAGAACTAAACTGGCATTTATTTTTAATGTGAACCTACTGCATATGACACTGATAGACTCTTCCCTAATTGCCACGTATTGATTTAACTTCTGAGGCTATGCATTTGTTATGCAATCCCAGGAATGTAAAGAAGTCATGTGTTAGGTCACAGACATAGTCCCAATGTGCCGCAACAATGGAAACTAAATATGAAATCTGTATTACCTCTGAGCAGATACAAGGAATGAAAGAATTTCTTCTTCCCCGGACAAATGGCTTGTGTCAAAAATAACACTGAATTCATACTAAGGGAAACAGAAAGCAACATTTAGCACTTTTTGGATATTCGAATAAGCATGATTTCTATTTGAATATCTTATATACAAATGCATGAAGTTTGGGAAATAAAGTGAACTTGAATTATTAATATATGAAGGTAGATATGATATAATTGCAATTACAGAAACTTGGTGGGAGAAAACCTATGTCTGGAACATACTGATAGAAGGATACAAGCTGTTCAAAAAAACAACAACCCAGACCCCGTAAAAAAGGAGGTGGAATTGCACAGTATGTAGAGGACCACTACATTGCTACAGAAATGCATGGAACCGAAGACGAAAACTTCCTAGAATGCATATGCATCAATATAAAAGAAAAAAAGAATGACATGGTCATGGGTGTATATTACAGGCCATCCAAACAAGAAGAAAATAGATGTACTTTTTGCCAATCAACTAACAGATATATGTAGGAAACACACTACAATAGTAATGGGGGAGTTCAATTACCTTGATAACAATTGGAAGACTAATTCTGCACCAAGTGAGAAATCAAATAGGTTTCTGACCAACCTATCCGACAACTTGTTGTTCAAAAGGTAGAGCAGGGAACTAGACAGGCATACTGGACTTATATTGGAGGAAAGCGTGTGGAAGCTGCGACCAGAGAAAGTGAAAAGGAAATTGGATTTTATAAAATTGGCTTGAATTATTGTATAGGATTAATTTGGAGGAGAAAATTTAAAGGAAAATATTTGAACACAACAAAGGTTTAGAAATTAAACTGGACAACTATTGGATTATTTGCACTTAAATGGCATAACTAAATGCTGAAATTGAGTGTGTTGAAATGAAAATAATAGCTAATATTGAAATTGGTGAATTTAATAAAAGTACTATATTTAACAAAGAAAGTTAAAATTAAGGAAGGAGTGGATTGTGGAAAAGGCTCAAGAGCGCCACTTGATAATACAGGAAAAACTTCAGTGACCTTTTTAAAGAAAGTGCTTGGTCTTTCTAAGAAATTGGACTTTGGAACTTAAAAGAAAGTAAAAAAACTCCATTATAAAAAATAAAAACCCTAGAAAGTAACAATAAAATACTACAAAGGGAAAGATATTTGAAAATATTGAATTAGAACCACCCGGAAAACAGTTGGGAAAGGGCCTACTTGAAGATCTGGAACAAAGACTTTAGGACATTGATTGTTGAAAATAAACTTAAAAGACATTGGCTGAAATAATATACTGGACTTTGGGGCTGAATACATCTATTAAGGAAGAGGAAAGAAAAGGAAAAAAGGAGAAATAATGGAGGAATTATTTGTTGAAATGAGATTTGCAAGATATAAGGGATGAAAATTAGATTTGAAATGTGTAATTACATATTACAGAAATTAGAAATGGTGACCCAGCTTGTAGAAGAACAAAGTAAACCAGAGGGGGAGGAGTTTAACAAAGAAGAAGCCAGCTTTGAAGAACAAAGGGATCAACTTTATTTAAGCAGGGGGGAAAAAGGAATTAAAATTAAAAATGTGTGGTCTGATGTGATAATAAAAGGGAAAATGGTTCAAAAAATGGAAAAAAGGAGAGGGAAAAAGCTAAAAAAAAGTTCAAAAGAAAAATTGAAAGGGGGAGGTAGAAAAAGTTAATAATTGGAATGAGAAATAGAGAGGAATAAGAATGGGGTAAAAGTGAATTAAAAGAAAGGACCAGAAAATAAAGAGAAACAGGAAGTAAATGAGGATGAAAAGAAATTATATTGTTAAAAGAGCGAGAGACAATGGGTGAAAAAAAAAAAGTTAAAATAAGTTAAAAAAAAATAGTTGAGAGAACACCTGTCTGATCTTGTTGAATACAAATAACCAGGACCTGACGGATTATATTCCAGAGTTCTTTTTTTTTCCAGTAATTTTTACTGTTCTTTTTCAACTTTTATACGTTTTAACCTTAATATTAACAGTACTGTGCCATCATTATTATATAAAGCAATCTCATGTAAATATCTACATTTATATACATTCATATCTATAATTTTCTTAACTCTGTTATCTTTATTTCTATTGTTCAATTGTCCCAAATTTTGTAATACTCAGACTCTTCTTTATCTTTTAATTTTTACGACAATTTATCCACTTCAACACAATCTAGAATTTTTTGAATTACTAATTCCTCTGAGGGTGTATTATTTTGTTTCCGGCATTGTGCTATACTATCCTTGTTGCTGTCAATATATGTAATAAAATGTATTTAATCTTTTTCCTATATTTCCCTTTAATTACTCCCAACAAAAACAACTCTGGTTTAAACTCTGTTCGATCTTCCACTATTTCTTGTATCCATCTCCATATTTTCATCCAGTATTGTTGGGCTTCCGGGCATGACCACAGCATATGATAGAAGGTACCTTGGTTCCATTTGCATTTCCAGCATGTTGGATTCATGTTAGGGTACATTTTGGCCAATCTCATTGGTGGCAAATACCAACAATAAAACATCTTGTACATATTTTTTTTATAAGCTGATTTTGTTAATGTGTAATTTTTGTTCCAAATATTTTCCCAATCTGCTAAATCTATATTATGTCCAATATTTTTTGCCCATGCTATCACATCATAATTTCACATTTTTAATTTATTGTATCATGAACTCCCATTTAAGATTGTCAAAAGCCTTTTATTACTTCTTCTTCCAAAGCAACTTTTAATAAATAATTGTACATTTTTCGTATGAATTTCTCTTTGGGGCCTATTAAAATTTTATCTAATTGTTGCAGTTCAGTATGTAATCCAATTTTTTCTACATCTTTTTATGTCTGGTTTGTAACTGGAGATATGGCCACCAATCTATACATATACCCTGCTCTTTTAATTCCTGATTTGTTTTTAATTTTACCTGATTATCTAATATTTCTTTGTATCTGATCATTTTGCCTAAATTCAATGTGTTGGGATATATCATCACTTCCATAGTGGATAACCAAGCCAGTATTTTCATGTAATGTTTTCTCCTAATTTTATTCCAAATCTGTACCAATGAATCTCTCATATAATGTCTATAAAAATATGTTTTCTTCTTACTTTTTTTTCCCATAGAAAGGTGTGCCACCCCATCTGTAGATCATGACCCTCTAGAGTTAATATCCTTTTATTACTCAAATTGATCTATTCATTGATCCATATCAATGCTGCCGCATTATAATAGAGTTCCCAGTCTGGGAACCCAAAGCTACCTCTACTTCTACTATCCTGTAACACTATTAATTTTATTCTGGTTTTCTTTCCTAACTATATAAATTTTAACGTAATTTTGTTCAGTTCCATAAAACAAATTGTCTAATTTTATGGGGATTGTCTGAAATCAGTATAATTTGGGTAAAATATTCATTTTAATCGCGGTGACTCTCCCTAATAACGATAATTGTAGTTTCCCCCATAATTCCAAATTTTCTTTATTTGTTGCAATAATTTCATATAGTTATTTTATTTTATCATTGAACATTTGCAGTTAGCCATATTCCTAAATATTTGACTTTCTTTGCAATTTGGAGTCCCATTACCCTTTCTAATTCTATTTTCTGTTCTTCCGTTAAATTCTTAGTTAAGATTTTAGTCTTTTCTCTGTTAATTTTAAGATATGATACTTCTCCATATTTTTCTAATTCTCAAATAAAAGTATGTCCTGTCTCCAATGGGTCTTCTATGAATTTTATATTCCTCTTTTTTAATTCTGGTTCCTTTTATATCTGGATTCTGTTTGATTCTAATCAATAAAATTTCTAGCATCAGGATGAAAAGTAGAGGTGACAATGGACAACCCTGTCTTAACACCCTTCATTATTTTAAAGGTTTCTGTATTCTCCCCATTTAATAATATGCTCACCTTTTGGGTGGAATATATCGCTCTATCATTTTCTCAAACTTGTCTCCTAATTTCACATTTTTAATTTATTGTATCATGAACTGCCAATTAAGATTGTCAAAGCCTTTTGTGCATCCAGTAAAACAAGTGCTGCTTGTTTTTCTGGATGGGCCTCGTAGTATTCCAATATATTTATTACTATTCTTGTATTGTTTCTGATTTGTCTTGTTTGGAGGAATGCATTTTGGTCTTGTTGTATAGATTCATTTAATAACTTTTTCAATCTTTCTGCTACTATTGTTATAAATATTTTATAACTGGCATTTAATAATGATATTGGCCTATAATATTGAATTTGTTTGTTATCTATACCCTCTTTTAGGATTAAAGAGATATATGCCTCCCTCCATGAGTCCGGTAATTTTGCTTCCATCAATACATCGTTGTGCATTGTTGGTTCTATCAGTTCACCCATCATTTTATATATTTCCCCCGGAAGCCAATCTGGACCTGGAATTTTATTATTTTTCTGTTTTTTCACTGCTTGTTTCAGTTCTGTCAGTGTTATTTTCTTACTTAACATTTCTCTCATTTCCTCTGTTATTGGCAAAATACCTTCCCCTTTCAAGTAATCTCCTATTTTTCTCCTTCACTACTTTTTCAAATTTATAAAGGCCTTCAAAATATTTATAAGTAATCTTCTTTTTCTCTTCCATCATATGTTCTAACTTCCCATTTTCATCCTGGAGCTGATATACTATCCTTTTCTCTCTCTCTCTTTCTTTAATTTATAGGACAATCACCTCCCTGGTTTATTCGCCTGTTCAAAAAAGTTTTGCTTTACAGATTTTAAGTTCCTTACAATTTCTTCTTGATCTAAGATATTTAGTTTATGTCTTGTTAGAATCCCCTTTAATTCCCCTTTAATTTGATCATTCTGTGGTTTAATTTGCAATTGTGTTTCTAAATTTTTATTTCCTCCTGTAATCTATTATGTTGTCTCCATTTCTCTTGGTTTTTCTTTGCTGTATAAGCTATTATGATTCCAAATGTGTAAGTTTTCATAGTGTCTCATAGGTTTTGCACTGATGTATAATAAAAAAAAGTTTCTTCCAACATATAAATAACAAGAAAAAAATCAAGGAAACAGTTGGTCCATTAAAGAGAGAGATGGCAAGGAAGTAACAGAAAACAGAGAGAAAGCAGAGCTGCTTAACTCATTCTTTGCATCGGTCTTCACGCAAAAGAAACTATAGCCCAACCTACCAAACAAATAATTGTAAAAGACTGACTAGAAATAAAAGTTAAAATAAGTTTTAAAAAATAGTTAAGAGATCTTGATGAATACAAATCACTGTGACATGATGGATTACATTCCAGCGTTCTAAAGGAGCTGCCAGAGGTCATCTCAGAACCACTGCACCATATCTTTCAAAAATCCTGGAGCACCAGAGAACTACCAGACTGGAAAAGAACTGATGTGGTTCCCAACTTCCAAAAAAGGGAGGGAGCGGGGAAACAGACCCAGGAAACTACAGAGTGATCAGCCTAACATCAATACTGAGGAAGATCCTGGAAAAGATCATTTTAAAAAAACAGATCTGCCAACCTCTAGAAACAATTAACGTAATAACTTGAAGTCAGTGTGGGTTGGTTAAAAACAGATCACGCCAAACTAATCTTATTTTGTTTTTCAACATAGTGACTAAATTAGTGGACCAGTGAGTGGGTACTTATTCTTCTATTGGTCTGTCAATAATAAGTACCCGTCTGGATGAACACAAAAATGCAGCAAAAAAGCTGGAACACACTTCCTTACTAGTCCAACACATGAAAGCAACAGGTCATAGCATCGACTTCAATGGCACCAAAACCCTAGCTACTATAGAAAACCCCAGCCACAGAATTATCAGAGAAGCCATAGAGATTGAAAAAAGACCTGAAAGCATGAATAGAACAGATGATTCCACCAGACTGTCAATCATTTGGAAGCCTGCACTCACAAACAAAAAATCTCCACACCACAAGGCAGGCAAACACCTGGGCAAAAACAGATCCCCCCTGATACTTCCAGCTCAGACACACCCCAACCAGGCACCCAGATGAAACCTAACTTCCTAATAAATGATAGCCATCCATTGACTTGGAGCCAAGCTGCACTAAAAGCCTCCAATACAGGAACACAATGTTGCTAGCCAATCAAGACAAAAAAAGCTACAAAACAGACAGAAGATATTAGAAACACCAATCAAGCAGAACACAGCAAATTCCAAGACCAATAAACACAGATCAAGACTCCCAACCAATCAGGATGAAGAAAAAATCATTCTGGCACAGGAGTAGGCTAGCACCAAATTTAAAACTGAAACGGCTGTGAAATTCTGACTCACAGATGAACACAATACAGAAGCCTGATGATGGCAGATGAAATTCTGTGGAAACGTTGCTACAACTTTAAAAACACAACTATAATGACATGGGAAAATACCCGAACAAAGCTGAATACCATAT